CTTCTGCCGGCTCTTTGGCAGCGGTCACTTGCCGGGGGGGGGGGGGGGGGAGGTTCTGCAATCGACAGGCCCAGGCTCTCCGCAGCGCTAACCAGGCCGGACACCCACCACCCACAGGCTCAGGACAAACGCCCTCCACCCCCCGCAGTCTCTGAACTTGAAGGTCAACTTTGCTCAGGGGCCCCAGAGATACGGGGGCGACTCACCCCCAGGAACGGGGATAAAGAAAGCAGCCATGCCATCCAGGAGGGTGAAAACTCGGCAAACCATGCGCCATGCTGGCTTGGGCCCTGGATTGGTACCTCCTTCCGGCAGGAAAGGCTCAAATCGCTCCCGGGTGCTAAGCGGAAAGGGGCTGGAAGAGGGGAGGGAGGCACCCCTTTGCAGCCCCTCCAGCACGGAATTGAGTGGGCACTGCCAACCCAGGGGCTGGAGAGGGTACACAGTGGAAGGTGTGGGGGCCCTAGAGAGAATGGAGGCAGCGGGTGTGAGCTGAGCCCAGCTGACAGGCTCTTGGTGATGTTTGTTGGGCTACTGAGGAGAAATAACTAGAGGGGAAAGCATTTGGGGGGTGACAAGGAGGGGAAGACCTGGGGGCGCCTGGGCAGCAAGGTTGGGGCAGTGGCGGATGAAGGCTTCCTGGTGCCCTGAGCACTGACAAGTCTTGGTGCCCCCCCCCCTTTGTACATATGGCACAAACGAAGCCGTCTTCTCCACTTCGTGGTGCCCCCTTTGGGCCTGGTGCCCTAAGCAGGAGCTTCGTCTGCTTCGTGGTTAATGCCCCGCTGGGTCGGGGAATGGAGGTGAGCAATTAGGTGCCGGTTTTGATCCCTGGATCCAGAAATGGACGGACGGACAGTCCTGGCACATCTGATGAAATCCTGGCTGGGCCACGGTGGAGGGACTGCCCCGTTTTAAATACGGTTGGCCCCCAAGCAAAGATCCTCCTGGAATTTGGTGGCAGGCTGGGCATGTCCATGGCTAAGGAGGGTTGGCGAGCCTCTCCTGTGCCCTCTGCTCCCTGGCAGGCTCCTTGGCCAAGGCCCTGCAGCGGATTGTTGGGCAGAGGTGGGGACTCTCCCCCGAGGTTGGTGCAGGGTGGCCTCCCTCCCATGCTCTGGGAGGGGGTTCAGGAGTCCCTGGCCCCAGTGGAGATGGGGGCTTCTCCAGGCCAGTCTAGCCTGACCCACCCAAGTGGCCACACTTTCAACCTCTGTCATCCCACAGCAACCCAAAGGAGAGAGCCATGACCAGGTCGTCCCCACCCGAGCCCCATGGGGCTTTCTCTCCCCCCAGGTTGGTTGGGGAGGAGGGGATTCCAGGCAGAACGCAGCCAAGGATGTTGCCATGTCCAGCCACAGTCGGGGGTCTGCCTTGGGTAAGGCTTCCCTGTTCCAATGGGCCTGTTTGGCTCCAATCTGCCTTCTGGCAAAGAGGCTTTTTGTAGGATTCTCTGGCTTGAGGTGGAGCGTTTGCCCAGGGATAAGGACGGCAGCAACCGGCAAGTTGGCTCATGTTTGGTCGAGAGCCGGAGAAAGAGACGACCTTGGAGAAGGCAAGAGGGCTGGCCAGCCAAGCACGGATCAAGCCCAAGAAGGGAGGGGGCACCGGAGGGAACTTCGACCAGGGTGGGGGCAGGAAAACACGCCCTGGCTTCCCGGATTCTGTTCCTGGAGCCAAGTTCCACAGGACGGGGGGGCGGGAGGGTCCTGAGCAGCCTCTTCCTGCCCCTCCCCCTTGGCCTGATCTTGGGGGGGGGGGCAGAGGCTGCCTGCACAGATGCCCCCAACGGGGCTTAGAGGTCACCTGCTCTGACCCAGGTCCCTGGCTGGCTCTGGAAAGCCAAGGCATTGAGTGGAGTTCCTCTTGATCTCATTCGAGACAACGACGAATCCACATACAGACAGGAGGTTGTACAACTTGCCTCGTGGTGTAACTGGAACAGTCTGGAACTGAACACACTCAAAACCGTAGAAATGGTGGTAGACTTTAGAAGAAACCCTCCCACACTACCACCTCTTACAATACTAGACAACACAGTATCCACAGTGGAGACCTTCCAATTTCTAGGTTCTACTATATCACATGACCTAAAATGGACGCCTAACATCAAAAACATCATCAGAAAAGCCCAACAAAGAATGTTCTTTCTGCGCCAACTCAGGAAACTCAAACTGCCCCAAAGGAGCTGCTGATCCAGTTCTACAGAGGAAGGATGGAGTCTGTCATCTGCACCTCTGTAACTGTCTGGTTTGGCTCTGCGACCCAACAGACACGGACTTCAGAGGATAATTAGGACTGCAGACAAAACAATGGCTACCCACCTATTGTTTCTTTCTTTTTTTCTTATATGCATCCATTTCGTGTATTCATAACTATGTTTATACTTATACCTGTTATCTTGTAAGCAATTGATCAACCAAATCAATCACATTAAACTCTCCGGAGTTGCCCGTCACTGCAGGAACACATTGACTGATTTTGTACCCTGCGCCTGGAGCCCAGCAGGGGGCAGCAGCCCCTCCCTTTCAGCCGCTGGAGCTCCCGGCTGGGTGACCCCCTTGGGGCCCTGGACAGCCAAACCGGGGAGGGGGGTTCTGGCAGCACTTCAAGGAGCCCTGCTCGCGCCCCCTCCCCCCTGCCCCACGGCTCTTGGGCTCTGCTTCCCAAGCAGTTTGAGCAGCAGCCTGGATGGACGTTCACCCTGGACAGAGACCGGCTGAGGCTGCCCTGAGCACAGCCGCTGGGTCCACCTGGGGCTGCTGGGAAGAGTCCCCCTGAGCCACTCCCTGGGGTGGCCGTAGGCAGGTCTCCCCTCTTTCTCTTGGAGGGCCGTAGGGAGACCAGCCCACCCACTCACCTCTGGGGTCCTCCCCAGGGGACGGGCTGGAGGTCTGATTTAACTGCGTCACCCCCTTGAGTCGTTCCTTGACCCACTGAGGCACCGGGCCCCAGAGGAGCTGCTTCGGGGGAATGAGGGCACCGAGACATGCAGCGCCGGTTTATTTGCAGTGCCGGTCCGGGGATGACGGGCTCCACACCTGCCTTTCCAGACGAGCCATCAGAAATGGGGCTGAGGTTTTCTTTTTCTTTTTAATAAATTTTATTAAGTTTTCAAATTTTAAAAACATAAAATAAAACTTTATACATTGTTATCAACATCAGGACATCAAGACCTCTCCTCACATTTTTCAGTATATATATTTACTTATTCCTTTATCATTACATCTTACTCTTGCTATAAATCAATATCATTTATCCTTACATATCAATCTTCTCCATGGTATATTTACATATTTACATATTCCCTCATTCTTTTCCTAATTGCCATTTTATTTTATTTTTAAACCACTTATCCCAGGCATCCCAGGCCCTATAATAAATGGAATCTTCTCTGTCTTTTATTTTCATCGTTAGCCTGTCCATCTCTATACAATTTATTATTTTTTTTATAACCATGCCTTCCGGTGGAACCCTTTTTGCTTCCACAGTTGTGCGTACGAGATCCTTGCAGCTGTTAATATATGTAACATGATATATCTATCTGTTTTATTGCATTTTTGTGTTGTTATACCTAATAAAAAGGTTTCTGGATTAAGTTCAATATTCTGATTCGTGATTTCTTCTGTCCATTGTCTGGGGCTGAGGTTTTCACTGAGCCCTCTCTCAATTGTTGACTAGCTCTTTCCTCTGGTGCTTCGGCTGACCCTCCGGTCTAATTTCATTTTATTCTGACATCTGATCTCGCTTTGATCCTGCTCATTAAAAAGAAAAAGAAAAAAACACCTCTTGAAGTTCGAAACTGCCAGATGGAAGGCAGGTTTTCAACTGACTGTGCAAAGAGCGGCCTCAAAAACTCTCACCCGGAGGGAAACGAAAGAAGGAGAGAGTCCAGAGACCTGAAGCCAAGAAGCTGGTCAGGACTGGATTTGACCTCCTTCCAAGCCAGGGTGTGGGGAGAGATTTGACACCCCTTGTTTCTAGAGGCCCCTCTTTCAGCTGCAGGAGTTTCGGCTGAGGTCCCTTGCAGTGGCGCAGGGGAGGGCTACCTGGTGGAAACCGCCAGCGCTGACCTCGCAGGTAACAGAAAATGGTGGGAAGAAAGAGGATCCGTCAGGCCAAGAGTGGCTGATGTTCCAATTTTCTTTGAAGACGGAGAGGGGCCGGGGGGGGGGGGGGGGGGCAAGACCCGGGAAGGCAGAAAGACCCATCTTCAGAGACTGCTCACAACCACATAGACTGCACACAATTGAGAAAGTCCAGAAATATTTCA